TAACCTAAGCGCTGACGCAATCACAAAAGATTCCGCCGTTCACAAGGTGACTAGAGAGCAACCTTTCTTTTTCGTCGAATCAAAACAAATATATTACATGAAAGATCCCACGATTATGATCAAAAAAATTCACAAGCATTTCATGCGGCATGACGTTTATAGTCATGATTGGATAGCCAAATGGAAGAATATAGTGGAGTTTTATGATCTTGACAGTAAAAAAAAATATAGACTTGCGCCTGCATTGCGTGCAGAGCACGTCAGGCCCACTGGAAACGAAATACCATTTTCTTCCGTTCTGAATACCTTCAGCGAGGCAGTTGCTGCGGGAATGTCCGCGTACGTTGACTCAGGGCAGATGGAGCAAGAAGCGCGTGGCACAGTACTTTTTTTGAGCATAATGAGCAGGATGATCGATTTTACCCGTTCTTCTAACGCTCCAAACTGTAGTGAGTTTAAAAGACCGTTTACCGGTTCTGATAATCAAATGGATTTAATATATGATGCGTTGGCAATGTTCCGAGATTTTGAAAACAATGCAGATAACTTAGAGTTTGTAACAGATATTCAAATAGCCATCAGGTCATTACTGTTGTTAAATGAAGATTTAACCTTAGAAAACTATCCTAAGTTATTCACCAAAAACATCAACTTTAACACAATGACAATTTTTTTTGATTTGGTTTCTAAAAAAAACTGCAAATCAGGACAGATATTGCCATGGAGGTTAGTTGATACATTTCGCACCAATTTTTGTAGGTATCTCGTAAACACACCTAAGTATAGAGACTGTCCAGAGGCATTAAATGGAGTATTTTTTGAATACCTTCATAAAGTACCTAAGGACCAAAAGGCACTCAAAAACGAGAACGAAGGACTTGGAGCATTTAAAAATACAATCACGACATTCAAAAATTCAGATGTAAATATGCCTGTTAAGATATCCGATTATAAAGATTTCAAAATACCGAGTAAAAATCAGTTGCAAGCAATAAGTGCATTTGTGCTTAAAAAATGTCTCGAAAAACACTCTTCCTGTGTTCTGCCCAAAAAAATGGGTAGAAAAAAAGTGGAATCAATCCCCAGTTGCTTGAATCGGTATCCTCAATTCACGATGGGCTCTGAACCCGATCAAGTGATTCCAGACCAGGGTTTCTTGCGATTGATTGCCGAGTTAGAGAACGACCTGAAGGTGCACTGCGACACCCACATGATGAGCTCCTTCTGGATGCTGAAGCTGATGCAGTTCAGCAGGTTCACCGGCGACTCGTACCAGCGCCCGTGCCACTGCTTCCCAGTCGTCTACCTAACAAAATTGTATTTCAGGATTAGGTTATCACAAATCCTTAAGATGAATAACAAAATTTTTAAAACTACTTCATTACAGTTTGCTTCATATCGCAGTTTGCCTTATTTCAAGTACATTAAGCCTAGCCTTTCTTAATTATGTATCACGAATTTCATTATTATTGATTAAAGAATTATTGTTTCGAGATAAGATGATTTTTATTTATATAAAGTATAAACGACACCACATTATGGTAAACACTGGAATCCTATGTACCTACTATGGTACTAGTAGGAATAGGTACAATTGCAACAAATGTGTAGTCCTGTACCTTATGTGATGTCGTTTGTACCTCATAATACCTCATTCCCGCATAATGAACTTTGTCTATCATAGATTTTAGGGAACCTGATGTAAATTATAAAAATGTAGGTAATGTAGCTTAGGTACCTAGTGTTTATTGTGAAAAATCTAAAGCGTTTATCGTCCAATGAGCTGCTGGCTGCTGTCATAGTGACATTGTCAATGATGAAATGTCGCGGATGACTCCGCGCGCTTTTGTGCTAAGCTAAGGTTGGGTTGCACCATCTTACTTTAAGTTTGACAAACGTCATAAATCTGTCAAACTCCATACAAAAACACCAGTTATCGTTAAAGTTACGGTCAAAGTTAGGTGGTGGAACTCAGCCTAAGTGATGATATAGTGTGAAAGTTATTTATCCCACCAAAAACATTCTGTAAAAAACTAGCCAAGTCTCGATGGAGCTGCTTGTTTTTCTCTAAAAAGTAATGAAATCTAGACAAAGTCGTGCCAAGTCTATGGTTCTTTACTGCGATTTCTTTATTATTATAGTTAATGTTGTGTGACTTGGCCGTTGAAGGGTACAAAACCAGGTGCTCCATGATACCATTGCACCAATCTGTTGCCAGAACCGCTACCCATTGACGATGGAAAATTGCCACTTGGAAAACGTTGATTTAATAACCAGTCAATTGTAGGCTTAATAAAGCTGCGTATTTCAATAATACTTATGCATGATTATTGATTATCTAATAAAGATTGTTCAACGGCCAAGTCACACAACATTAACTATAATAATAAAGAAATCGCAGTAAAGAACCATAGACTTGGCACGACTTTGTCTAGATTTCATTACTTTTTAGAGATAAACAAGCAGCTCCATCGAGACTTGGCTAGTTTTTTACAGAATGTTTTTGGGGGGGGGGGGGGTTCTAGAAAGGAAAAAAAATCTGGACACCGCGGTGCAGAAAATCGACGCTCAAAGTGGCATTTTAGCGGTGAGCGGTACAGGCGAACACCACGGTGCCGGTGTGGCGCTAGTAGTATTGATATGAATGTGGTGTTACTCCAGATCTTCGATTTTCCTAGTTTTTATAGTTTTCCCTTTATGTGGCCATTAAACCCTAACTCTGTACCAAATTTCAGCTCTCTGAGTTTATGGGAAGTACTAGTTCTATTTTGATGATCATCAGTGAGTGAGTGAGTGTCATAAATGCGAAACTTTGCTTTCGCTTAACTTCGGAACTAAATGACCTACAGACTTGAAATTTTGGAATTTAAGTATGTAATTATAGCTTACTAGATGACGAAAATTTCTGCGTTCTAGTCTTATCCAGAGGTTCTCAAATAGGGGCCTGAAAATGCGGCGAAATGGTTCCAGTAAAGGATGGTACGGCAGTGTTTGCTTCGCGCTCGACTTGGCGGGGGCACTACCGTGCCCCCAGATTCAGGGCTTTAACCTAGTAAGTAACCTAGACGTGTGAATCTTACTACATCAGTGAGTAAGCTTCTAGCTGGTCATTTAAGTATACTTAAGGCTAAGAACTCATGATTTTCACCCGCGCCCGCGGCGGTTGCGGGCCCGCAGCTTCTGTAGAATGCAGTGTACTATTTAAAAACTAATGCACAAACTCACGACGCGGTTTTCGCCCGCAGCGCTGCAGCGGGCGCAGTTGTATGCGGGTCCCGTTCGGCGGGCGACCATTTTGTACCAGTGACTTAGCGCGCGGCGCGATTTTGAATCGCGCCGTGAGTTCTTAGCCTAAGTCTCCCCTCAGTCAAGCCTCTCCTATCCACTGTTTTTATCCGATCAGCGTGAAAGTCATCAATGTCATCGTATGACTAGATTCAGAATCATCCCATAATTATAGTAAACTCTAGATAGGTATTAAGATGATGAGTATTAAGACACGAGAACGATTACGATTCGCAGTCGTAAGTTTTTACTGGCCAACAAACATGGCGCGAAACATATTAAATTAAATTCATTTTGCCATATTAATAGAGTTCTTATGCGATAACTGTTAATTAATTGTCGATAACGAACAACATAGTTTATTATAAAAGGAGGGTCGCTGCCAATATGTGGTTGTTTTTAGCACTATGTGAGTTGGAAATTATTAAAAACTGGTGCTAGTACTTCGCTGAAAAAAATATGTTAAAACCGGATTGTGATAAACAAGGCAAATTAAGGCACACACGACCTTTGATCGATATTAGTGAAAATTTGAGCTTAAAATCCATATTATTTTACCGAAAACAAATCCATACTTATGTATTTTACCAAGCTTTGGGTGTGTGTGTTGGTCTTTGATACCTGTCATTTTACAGAAAGCCATTTGATTCCGTTTAAACCGAAATATTACAAATTATATCAGTAATCATTTTAATTCAGGTGGTAGGTATGCGAAACTTATTGTGAAAATCGGTGTTAATATGTCACCTCATCATCATCTTCATCTCAGCTATAGGACGTCCACTGCTGAACATAGGCCTCCCCCAATGCTTTCTATGTTACCCGGTTGGTAGCGGCCTGCGTCCAGCGCTTTCTTGCCACCTTTATGATGTCATCGGTCCACCTTGTGGGTGGACGTCCCACGCTGCGTTTTCCGGTACGCGGCCTCCACTCCAGAACCTTGCTGCCCCATCGGCCGTCAGTTCTGCATACTATGTGCCCTGCCCATCGCCACTTTAGCTTGCTAATCCGTCGGGCTATGTCAGCGACTTTAGTTTGTTTACGGATCTCCTCATTTCTGATTCGATCTCGTAAAGAAACACCGAGCATAGCCCTCTCCATAGCTCTAACTTTGAGCTTCTGGCTTCTGGTCACAGGCCTATAGTGAGAGGCCACGTTTCCGAACCATACGTCATCACTGGTAATATGTCACCTACATAAATATTAATGCAACAAACCAAATAATGATTTGAAAATTCAATTTAAGGTATAGGTACAGCGACTGCCTCTTTCATCCAACTCAGAGACAAAAACTTTGACGAAGACGACAAAGAGCTGGCGCGCGTCTTAAAGAAGCGGATGACCGCCGACTTTACGCTTCCGGAGGACCCCGACGCCAAGAAGTACTTGGAGGAGAGCGTCGAATATACTTTCCAAGTTTTACAGGTTCATTCATGGTTACAATAGCGACAGGTAGACAAGAATGTCGAGGATCAGACGTACAACACACTCTAGCATGATTTCAGTTCGCTTCAGCCGAAAGACGTCCACTGCTGGACAAAGGTTTCCCCCCAAGGATTTCCACAAAGACCGGTCCTACGCCGCCCGCATCCAGGCACCTTCCGGGCCCCTCACCAGATCGTCGTTCCACCTAGTGGGAGGCCTGCCCACACTACGTCTTCCGGCTCGTGGTCGCCACTCGAGAACTTTTCTGCCTCAGCGGCCATCAGCTCTACGAGCTATGTGCCCCGCCCACTGTTACAATTTTAGTTAATTTTTCTTAACTTTTTAAAATATCTGCCCAGATGAATGGGTTAAACAAGGAGGACATAGAGCTGGGCGACGATAAACCCCTGTCGTCTGGACAATCGCGCAGACAAGTGCGCAAATTCACAATGGACAAAATTCAGGGCAGTAACACACGGAGAAACCTACAGTATAGGAACGCCCGAAGAAACTTGCAGACCGGGACCAAAGAGAGCCTACTCCCGATTACACGTGGAAAGGTAAAATTACTGAATAATGTTTTAAAATTTAATGACATACAATCACACAGTGTTGCTAATTCCTAAAAATATGTCTGAAATAAAATTATACGCAGATAACCTAACCTAGATCGAAAAAAACAAAACCTATTTTGCTGTAGTCACTGAGTGAAAAAGCTTAACGACTCCGTCTTATCATGAAACTTTTTTCTCAAGCTTCCGCAATCAGGAGCGGTTCGAAGACAGTACTTGTGGGACTTCCCGAACGAGCCGTCGATCCGGGATATCAAGGAGCGCGTGATGGAGGCCATGCAACAGCAGATATATGCCGCGCAGTATCGTATGAGGGATCTTCAAAAGATCATTGACAAGTATTCTGGTGATATCAGGTGATGATGATGCTGTGGAAGACTAGATAAAGAGTTAATCCTAGACAATCTTTTTTTGTTTAATACAATGTGTAGGTATAGAATTTGCTGGTAGTTTCTCGCGAATTACAAACTTGTAGGTTCCATACGTTACTTACATTTATTTACTAGGCTAAACTATTTCGAGGCAGTGATAACACAAACAAGATTAACAATTTTCAGGTATCGTATCGGATACATATACTGCCGTCTTGAGACACTTTTGTACGAAATGCAAGTGATATGCACCTTTACGAAACGTCATGACCAAAAGCGAAACGTGAACATCCACATAATATACCACACGTACTTGGTGAAGAAGAACGTTGATGTTACGTACATCGTGGAGCACATGATCGAAATTCACACCAATTATATGGAAAGGTCAAAGGTCACGACACCAGCGATTTCTGCAAAAGGCGCTAATGCCACTACTCCCGATGGAACAACAGCGGAAACCACAACCGATAGCAACCTACCTCCGCAGCAGCAATGATCTCATCAACTTTATTAATTTTACAGTCCATTGCTGAACGTACCCTTCCAGAAGCATTGTTTTATCCAGCTAGTTCTTGAGGTCGTCAGAAGAACGTCTTATTATACAGGGTTATTACCTCGCAGTTATTACATTATAATTTAGATAGGTAAGTATAATATTATTACATCACTTGCAGCTTTCGTACATGCGCGGTTTTATGACTTTATTAAAATGGTGAAAATAAAAGCTACATACTATCACAACACAACACCCTTGTGAATAATTTACGTCAGCCCAATATTATGTGTATTCCCCTGTTATTTGTCCGTCAACCAGCGGGACAGCTCGTCCAGGACAAAGGCGTATTGTCCCGGCTAATGACAGACGCCGAAGAGGGCTCGCTGCTGATGCCACTATCTGGGGTTATTTATTTATGTATTTTATCAACGACCACGGCATATTTCAGGTAACTTTTCAAGTAGGCTTTAATTGAGTTGTCTTACGCCTCAGCTCTGGGATCAATGAAAATGAAGAAAAGCTGAGAGGGTTTTTTGATAAGTATAAAAAAATTTGCAATAAATATCATGATGGTTATATGGTCAAGTTTTGTATATTTTCCGAGCATTGGGCAAGGCGAACAGATCCTGTTCCTATTTACATGAAGTGGACGGAGAGACAAACTGACTGAGTTACGGTAATTGATTTAGGCAGTCCGCAATGTAAATTGTCCGAAAGGAATTGTGGTTGTGAGTAGGGGTGCTCGTCAAACCAGATCAATAGACATACAAGGACATTCCAGAAAGTATGTACCTACTTACATACGATTGTGGTGCGCAAGTAATTAATAAATACCTAGCTGTTGTAAAATTCAATTCGAGCTTTTTGTTAAATGGTTCTTCAGCAGCCAGTTAAACGACATACCTAGCAGCAAACGGTGTGGTGTGGACCCCTCGAAGTGATTGAAATTTAAAACTTTAAACGATAAGACAATAATACTTAAATAAAATACAAAAATAATTCAACAATTAACACTAAGTTAAAAGTAGCCAGTTAAAAAAAATACATCGATTATCTCCCAGCTTTAAGTAATCCAACAAGCATAATACACATTTTTATAATCTATGCATGACCGATTATGACATGGCATGAGTGTAGCAGTGCTCGAGGGAATGGAGTGCGGGTTCGATTCCCTGCTGCGGGCGCCGGAACTTGACAGCTTGACATTAATTCTATAAGATTGAAGCTTCATTATTTTTAGAGAGGACTTAAAACTTTCTCTGCCCATCATTACCTATTCATTAATGTTACTAAAACCATCACCTTGACGATTGCTCATTATTTAGGGCGACCAAGAAATAAGACCCTCATGGATTACCAGTAGCTGTTATTTTTATTCGGAATATACCTAAAAATGCAGGTGTGCCTCTCATGTCTAAAGTATCATACCAAAATGAATCTTAACCACACAAAATAAAGTTGAAAATACAATGATAGTTTTTAATCCATATAGGGTGTTCTCGCTTATTTAATAGGGGTGATAGCCACTTATTGGGCCGTTTATTGCGATTATTGAGGGTGCGCTGACTAGAAATATTATGCTTGCAGATAGATTCGATAATATCGCGTGGGTTGAACTGTCTTTTTATATTGCTCGTAAAAGTGTAAAAATAAGCCACTAAAATCACGAACGAAATAAAAAAAAAGTTACGTTTGTTAGTTGAAATAAATCCGAGTGGGTTAGTTTTACTCAATATGCATAATCTAAAAAAAACTAATCAAAAATCTAAGGAAGGAAGGATTGTAAGAAAATTTAAATTTCAAATCGATATAATTTTCAGTTCAAAGTGGCAACGTAACTTTATTCCCTTCTTCACCTAAATAACGTTGAATGCTTGTAAGTAAAGAAAATAACACATCAAGATAAACACTAGGTCATCATCATAACTAGTTTTTGATTACGGCTTTCGCTCATAAACGTCTATGTAATTAAACACATTAAAACTGCTTCATTAGATAGTGATAAAATGGCATTAATATGGGTCTTATTTGGACTATCCTATAAATAAATAAAAAATATATATTAATTTGTAAAAAGTAAAAAGATATTATAAAATGGCGACTATACAGGATGACGAGTGAAAATTGTCCAAAAGATTCGTATAAAATTATCGATGCGAATGGACAAGTCAATCTGTCTATCAGAAATAAATATAAAAAGAAAAATAATGATAATCACCACTGAGTAAAAATAATTCACAAGTCCAAGACGATTAAAATCATACCTAAAGAGTCAATAAAGCAATTTCGCAATGGTTGCTATCGCCGAAATAGCTCAGTTGGGAGAGCGTTAGACTGAAGATCTAAAGGTCCCTGGTTCGATCCCGGGTTTCGGCACGTTCGTAATTTTGGTCAATTAATCTATTTTTGAATACCATTTTCTATTTTAACTTCAAATATTTTAATGACCAAGAGCTGATCGCGGTGCCAAACTTAATGTTTTTTGTGAATTATTAATCAAATCAAATCAAATCAAATAAGTTTATTTGCAGAACAAAATGTCATGATAATACAGGTATACAGTATCTGAGTCAGTTCCAATTATGTTCTACCGGGGATTGTACCGGTGTGCAAATGTTATACAATAATATTATTGACTGATTAAATTAATTAAGAATATAAAAATTACAACAATTATGATCACAATGTAAAATTTTAATACCTACTCAAATAATAATATTACGATTTTTAAGCTGCCATCTGGCCAGTACGTAAGTACCTATATTTTTCTATTAATTAACATTTTTACAGTAACTAACAATAATTAGTAACTGCATTCATATGAATATGAGTATGAGTATATGATGATTACTTAAAAACCAGATCATGATGAATTAAAAAAGTACCGCTGAATTATTAGGTATCATGATAATTATTATATTCTTTAACTATTACTTACATTAACTTAAATCTACACAAATATGTAACGTTTGAAGGCTAAATAAAATGGAGTTCTTACAAAACTTGACTACTTTTAACAACAATTTGGAAGAATTGGCGGCTAAATGTACCAAGATACATTTAAAGCAGCAGCAGCGACAGCCAACGTCCTTGTGGATGGTGAATGTAAGCTTGTAAGATATCTAATGGAAAATAGGTCCATAGTCCGGCGCAGATCTACTGAGAAGGGGGCCACATTGGGCCTAAAAGAATTGTGACGTCACACGATTTATTGAGAAATTGAGATCATAGGCATATTATGATAATGCCTGAAATATTTCGATAACAATATAGGTACAAGGTTTATTTATTTACATAGGATTACACCCCAACTCGGCCCATTTTCTGTGATGTAATCACTATATTTTTCGCCAAAACCAGCAGGTAGGCGGCGACATGTCGCATGCAGCTTGTGGTCTCCGTACCGTACAGATACTTACAAAATAAATAGGAACAGAAGACAATTACCTGTATGTATCTAATTCGTTTTGCATACCCACACAGGTTTGCGACTATCGTGTCAAATCGTGTGCGATTAGGGTTGCCAGGCGTCCGGCTTTTTAGGGTCTTGTCCGGCCAAATATTGCCTTGTCCGGCCTGTCCGGCTTTTGTTAGGCTTTTTATTTGGTTGCCACTCCGATCCTATCTATTTTGTGGTACAGTTTCGGACAGCCTTTGATCCGTGTGCCGTTAGAAGTTCTTGGTGTCGTTGGGCGGCGCGTCGGCGTCGGCCTCCTCCTCCAGCCGCAGCAGCGCGTCCAGCGTAAGCCGCTTGAGGCGCTGCTGCAGCGGCCGCGGCAGGCGCTTGGCGCTCTGGCACACGCTCGCGAAGAACAGCTCCAGCGCTTCGTCGCCGCCGCCGCCGCCGCCGCCCGCCGGCTCCCACGCCTCCGACTCCTGGTCCGACGCCGGCGGCTCATCGCCCTCGTCCAGCTTCACGTCTGTGTCCTTCACCTGCCGCTCGTTTCTGAGAATTCAACGTAATAATGAATGAACCGTTACACTGATAAGTTTATCAGTTGATTGAAACTGTTTCTAGTTTTACGTTTTCATAATAACATTCTAACAGGCACAGTCCATCCCAAAAAATAACATTAAAATAATTAAAACAATAAATACTGTCGCCATTTCGCCAATAGGTTAAACTGAGCCAGATTTTTTTACAATTTCAATCAAATCTACAGTCTCTATCTATAGTAAAATCGTTTATCGATTAAAAAATAATGTGTTCAGTTTGCGTTAATTTAACAATTAAGTACCTACCTAATGAATTAGAATATTTCTCACGTACCTACCTAATGATTTCATTCGATATAAAACCCTACCCTAACTAGGTTAGGTAGATAGGTAGGTGCGTACCTACCTAATATAATAATTGTAAGAATACATGCTATATTATCCTTCCTATGCTATGCTATGCAACGTTAATTCTGCTAATAACATTATTTGATTACTAAGGATATTTAATTTGATACTTTTTTTTTATCCACAACGAGGAAGCTCTTACTGGTGGTTAGATAACTAGTTAGAGCAATACAGTTATGAATCAGTACCTGTAAATTTAAGACGTTAGTACCTACCACAATTAGTACTACATGTACATATACCTAACTAACTACATAATAAATTATGAATAAATTGATAAACATAATCCATGAAGTGCTAAAAATAGAATGGTCGTCGACGCGACGCCTCTAACTTTTATGTTCACCTAAGTCTGTTACCAACTTGTTGAAAAGATCTTTTTGATCCGATGTTTGTTTCCTCAATATTAAATTGTTTTGAATAAAGTAAGTAGAAACTTGTTTAAATCAATAAGTAAAAAAACATTTATCTTGTCACCCTGTTTTGTGTCGGTCACAAAATCGACTATTTAAGAATATCTTTTGAGGCTTTTGTGACATCACGCGTATTGTGTATGCGTGCGTCGAGGATCGCACTCGCAGACGTACACACACACACAGGCGCGCCACTAGCCGCTTGTGTGCCGCAGCCGGCCCCTCTCGCTCCCACTCGTCTCAATCGGAGCGCGCGGGCCGCAGTCAGTCGCCGGCGCCCCGCGCCCCGCAGCGGACGCGTCGTATTCACACGCAGAATCTGTGCCGATTTGCAAAAGTTTTTTGAAACGGATCATCAAATTGATTAAAAAAAGCGGTTTTTATAAAACATAGAAGAATCCTATGAGAATATAATTAAAATGGACCCGGAAGAAGAAAATATTCATACTTGTGATGTCACCATTGACGATGAAGAAGAAGAAATCGAGGAACCAGAACACTTCCCAGTTCCTAATTTTGAACCTAAAAACGAGACGTATTCACAAAATGAATCCATGGCGTCCGAGTCTCAAGAAGTAACGATAACAACTGAACAAGACGCGCCAATGACTAATCGCTCCAGTACCAGCTCGAATGATGGCAGTTCATCAGACGATAATCTCCTCACGCCTAGTGTTTCAAAGAAACCCCGTACTGAAAGAAAAACTATATTTGGAATTTACGCTCAGAAATCCAATATCGATTTAAAATGTAGAATGCCTGGCTGTGACACAGTACAGTGTAATTACATTTACAGCCAAGAACATTATTTTTTCAAGGCGCCGATGGCAAACGTGAGGTGTGTATTTTTCAAAATTTTCATTGAATTTTTTCTATGTCCTAAGTCAGATTGATTAAATTTAAGAAAATATACAAATTAACATAAGCCTCCTTCTTTCGCAGTCGGGTAAATATTAAGAAATACGGGTTTCAAACACGACATTTAATATAATGCAGTACAGAGACAGACACTACAGTCTACAGACGACAGCACCTTGCATAGCAATTTGCAAGTAGTTGTAATGTGGTATTTTGCAACCAAAAGGTCTGATGGGCTGTCGTCTGTACACTCGTACTTACAGCGTGACGTTCCAGCTGTTGTTTGCGACAGCCGTGTCGTCACACACAAGCTCTGGTGGCTCGCGGCGCGGTTGTCCGATCGGGTGGGCTTGAAATTCTTCGGCTACCCTCAAATTAATACTTATGTAGCTAATACATTACAATTGTCGCATTTGAGACCCGTGAGTTCAATGCAGTACTACTAGGTAGGTACTACTTTTAAAGAATGTCATTTAACTACATCATTCGGGAAATACGATCCTTCATCCTAACATACTTACACGTACGTACATGAACTTTTAACTAATTCTAATTTAGACGAGATATATTTATATGATGCTCTTAATTTCTTTTTAATATAGACAGTTATTTTTTACAATAATTATACATACCTAACGTACTTATACTCGTATGTCCAGAACTGCTTTGTGTTCTGCGCGTGCACACCCTACTACAAGTTTCACGCTAAATGGACTAATAGTTGTTAATCCGCTAATCGTTAATTAACGAACTTAACATTTCTATTAACGAATTAACTTTAAAAACAGTTAAATTCTCCTAAGTCCGTTATTCGTTAATCCAATACCTACTATTTACCAAAAAATACCGCAGGCATCGCGGCGGTGGCGGCGGCGTGTCGCGAAAAACGCGTTGATAATGATTAGTGATCTGCTTTCAAAACAATAGTTTTTGTAAGCAGATCACTAACACAACGATATAAAAAATGCAATTTTTATCACGTGTTAACGCATTAACGATTAGCAAATCTTCCGAAATGTAACGTTTATTTAGTAACGGATTAACGATTAACGAAGTTAACTATTTGATTAACGGTACCCAGTTATGACACATGACCACATTGCATCTTTTTATCGTTTTTTTTTAATTTCAGACGTAAAGAATGGCTAGATGTTATCGGTGACGAAAAACTAATGTCTAAGATTTTATCATCGGAGAAGCCAGCATCATATCCAGTCTATTTATGCCAGAAACATTTTAAGACAGAGGATTACATCGTGAATACGCCGCATAAAAAGATTTTAAAGTGGACCGCAGTGCCTATGCCTTTATCAAGAGAAATACCAGTTGAGCACAAGGGCGTGCAGGCCACGCTTGTGACGTCAGACAGCGGCTCCCAGACCGACTACACGAACATGGAGCATCAATCTGTTCAGGTTCGGCCGGTCATTTTCGGCAACTTTCAGGCTAAACTGGACAATAAGGTAATCGAAAACATAGAAAACACATTCGACAAGTGGTGCGATAAATTTTTACCTGAGCGCCTCTCGGAAATCATCAAAGAACAAAATACCATCAAGCACAGAGGTCTTGGAAAAAATAGCGTAGCATTAGGTTTAACCTTATTTCATACCGGCCCACGAGCGCTCGAATTACTACTAAGCGAGGATATGCACTTACCCCGTCGTAGAACATTACAAAGAGTTCGCATTCCAGGGACTACTGAATATAACGAAGCAATAATGAAAGCTTTCGAGATCAAAATTCGTAACATGACGGAACGCGAAAAGTACTGCTCGGTGATAGTAGACTTGGTAAAAATAAAGGCTTGCCTAGACTATGAGGAAGATAGAATTGTGGGTTTACATGACATTAACGGACGTCAGTTAATGGAACCAGCTCAATACGCAGTAGTAATTCTAACGAGGGGTTTATTTGTTAACTGGTCTCAACCTATAGCGTTTGCATTCTTATCAAAATCAAAAAGGCATTCACAGGTGTCAAAGTGGATAGACCAATATATAAAAAAACTCCTCGATATTGGACTTAAAGTGAAAACTTTTGTGGCTAATTCTAAAACGGATCTGTTGAATGAAGTTGAACTAAGGTCAATATCAGTCGACAAACCATATTTTTTCGTTAATGATGTTAAAATTTATTACATGTTCGATGTCCCTGATATGCTGATAGAACTTCGTGATAAGTTTTTAAGTTACAGGTTCCAATATCAAAAAGAAAGTGGCGTTGTTGTAGCAACGATTGAACACGTTAGAAACTATTTACTTTTTCAAACTCCAAAATTATGTGTTGCTCCTAAATTATCCCCGAAGCACCTCTCCCCGACTGACGCAGAGAACCGCCAAGTGCGCTACGCGGCGCAACTTTTGAGCCAATCAGTGGCCTTGGCCCTGTCAACCTCGAACGAACTTCATTTCATGGGATTAGTTGAACCCGTTAATGATACTATCGATTTCCTATTGCTGATGAACAATCTGTTCGATACGTTGAACTCCTCGAGTATGGCAGGAGAGCTATTCAAGAAGCCTTTTCGTGGAAATAAAACTCAAATAGATTTGCTGAAACAATCTAGCGAATTTTTTAAGTCATTACAATTAATCACAGAACAGGCTGAAAAATGTGAAGATGCTCAATTTATTACAGGCTTCCAAATAATGATTCAATCCCTTTTACTTTTGTTTAAAGATTTAAGACTAGAAGGACATGACTGTTTGTTCACACGAAACCTAAATCTTGAAGTGTCTAAGAAAATGTTCAAGCCCGTCAAATCTGAGGCTGGTGGTGATGCCGAGACGCCGAACAGCGCGCAGTTTGTGGATATTTTCAATGGTTTATATTTGACCCATTTACTGAAACCGACGAAGGGTAGACACAGCTCGATGGATGTGGCAAGGTGTATTAGTAACCTTATCGAAGTGGATGATTCACAACAAATTGTGGATTCGCATCATCATGAGGAAGAGGTAGTGCCGGACAGTTCAACATCAGTTATCAATATTCCAACTGAATTCTTCACAGATCTAAAAATTGCTGAGCAAATTAATATTGAAGATATTTGGATGGTATTGTTTAGGATATGTCTAAACCACCATAGCACCTGCGACAGATTTAAAGCATTCGTTTTATCATTTAGCAACAGAGTAGTTTCAACAAAGAGAACTCCAGATATGACCATACGGGTGAATTTTATGAGTTTCATAGAAATCATGGAAAAAGAATTTTGCGAAGCTATCAAAAGCTTGGAAACCAACAGTAAGATCGTCGCGGTGACGTTCGAGAGGCTAAGACGCGTGGAGTTCTCTCCACCATGTCCGTGCTTCCCAACAGAACACCTCAAAAAGGCTTTTATCAGATTAAGGCTGTTCATGATAGTCAACTACAATAACAAAGTCTATTGTATGGATGATTCTGACTGTAAAAATGTTATCATTCCGTCAATAATTTTTACTGGTTAATTAATATGCGAAAGAAATAAAAACTATAATTCTCATCGCTATTTTATTTCAACTTTACCTGAAATACTATGTAGGTAAGCACTAGTAAGCAGTACTAAGTAGGTAGGTACGTAGGTTTGATTTATGATTGATTTTATTTCATATTCAGAACAATTATTTACAAGTAAGAACGAATAAATTTGGACATAAAACCTTGCCTCCGATGTACAGACGACAACAATCAAACTATGTTGTTATGTTATTAATAATTATGTTGCAAATTCGTCCATAGAACACCTAAGTAGTGTAAGTAAGCCTACAAACAAACAACATCAGACTTATTGCACAATAGCTCGAGTATTACTAAACTACGAGCTTCGACACCACTACCGTGTTTGATGATTTTTATGTTCTCGTCTGTACATAAGATCCCATAGTATCCAGCTTGCTTGAAGCGCCATCGTTTGTATCTACAGACCACATCTAGGTATACGATGTGCCATCATGACAGCTTTAATAAGTCAAGTGCTATTTTGCGACATTACCTATATGATGTATGATGTGCTGTCGCCTGTACATTGCGGCACTTTTGCAAAATGATAATGGTATCATGGTAGGTTTTCATGGGAAAACCTTTGAAAAAATACCGTAAGTAGGTACCTAAATACCGTTGAACGAGAATCGAACGTTGGAACTGAACGATGAAATAAAAATTATAATACCTATTATGAGAAATCATCGCTGCAGTGGTAGTTATGAAAATTCACGGTCCCAAGTCCGACTGTATCACAACAAACATGAATGAACCTGGGAATCGAACCCAGAACTCCCAGCGCTCGCCTGCCATCGGCTGTCCCTGCCGCTCCCGCTCCACTCCAGTCAGTCGGCGTCTCCCCGCAGCCCGGAGCGGACGCATCTGAGCCGGCGCGCTGAGCGAGCATGTGGATCGCCAGGCACGCCCACAACCCGCGCCGCTGCTGCAACGTGGTCGGCTGCCTCGCCAGCCCCAAGTGGCAGCAGCAGGACGTCTCATACTTCCCCGTACCCACGGAGCCCCACCAGTAAGTTAATTGGCGCCATTTTCTAATTGACTATACTCTTTCTGTTTATGTAGGGTTTATTTGTTTAGGGAATGTAAAAAAGTTCATTTTTGTAAATTTGTTAGGGGAAAATCGCGCTGTTAGAAGAGATGGTACTTTGTCATTTACTCCAGGGCTAGGACTACCATAATACCGCAAGAAAATTCTATGTAGTTACGCAAATCATACTTTTTTGCAATCTCGTTCAATAAAGTTAGACTCAAAGGCAAGGTTATTAGAAGCAAAATTCATTAGCTGTGAGAATAAATAAATGTTCATGTTAAGAATGTTTGTAAGATTAATACATAGTTTAATGAATTTAAAACAGGTTTTAACGCGATACGCGGATAGGTAATACTGTTTTAAATGCAACGCGACAGTTTAAAATTATTTAATAATATTGACAAAAATAAATTAAAAATTATACTTTATATTAAAGAAACCAAAGCGTGAGGCGTTTGATAACTTTTTTAAATAATAAATTGCATGTAATAAAACCAGGCAAGTCCGCCCCAAAGTCTTGCTAGACTAGACCCGAGGGTGGTGTGGTGTGGTAACCCTACAGGTCTAACTCGGCCTTCACTGGTTGTTTGGGCGCGTATAATCTACCTACACGAGTTGTATCACAGTAAGATATTGATTTATCTACTGTGGTTATATTCACGGGAATGTTCTCGTCGTATGTACACAGGGATAATGCCTATGTATGGGCTATATTACTGAGGTTGTTATTGATTGAATAACGCGCTTGGGGAGCCATTCTCCTCGAACAATCGCAAGCACTATGTAGACAGATTGAATTAAATGATGACAGAATATCACAACGCTCCCCCAGTCCCGCACTACATTTGAGCAATAATATGCATAACAAACAATGCAATTACATTAATTTTGGATGGAATCTATTTCGTAGTGAATTAATCACACATAATTTTATTAAAGTTAATATTCATTTTAATAAGGTTTACAAAACATCTTAATATTATAATTTGTCATCTTATTTACTGATACCTAGGTACTAGATAAGGACTCGACCCGAATAACAATTTGTGTATAAGCATTTTAGAAAACGTACGAGTACCTACCTACCTACATATTTGCAGAAAATAAGTTACTTTTATGACTCCGTTATTGTTTTTAAAATGATAGAAAAATTTATGACAGGTATACCTAATTTAATGCGTTTTCATTGGTTCTATGAAGAAGTAGAAGTTTTTTAGTTAGCATTTCGAGTTTCGACTTTCGACTGTTGAGCAGAAATTTAATATCATCACGTAGGACTTTTCATTTGATGGCTTCATTTATTGGCTTTGCTCGAATTTCAGTTCTTAAAAGAAATACTATCTAATATTTAACTTTGTTTTAGCAACTGAAAAACCGTGCATGGTGTAAAACTGTCATTCAACACGATTAATAATTATAAAACATACTAATAATAATTAAAACATGAGCTACCCTACCACGCGTGTAAACGTTAAGTTACGTAAATAAGCAGGCACCTCTACACTATTCTTAGAGTATGTAGGTATAGTATAGAATAACTCCAGGTTCTTTTGTTTCCAGGCGATCAGTATGGTTGAAGGCGCTGGGCCGCGACGACGACCTGTACCAGGACGTGACGCTGTACGTCTGCGAGAGGCACTTCAGGCGCTCCGACATCGTGGTGACGTCCATGGGGCGCAAGCGCGTGATCGGCGCCGTGCCCACGCTGCACCTGCCGAGGCACAGGCGGACCAGCGCGGTCGCGGTGCAAGCGGGCAGGGACATGAACGGCTCCTGGGCGCAGACCACGAGGAACTTCAAGGAAGACAATCTCACACAAGTAGGCACGTCCTTTGCCGAAGATAAACAACAAAATTCAGAGCTTCTTATGGAAATTGACAAATGCCAAAATGATCTGGACAATATCGATGCAGATGAGCTCCGTTACCATATGGAGGTATTTCAAAAATCTTGTGACAAGTTCTTATCGCCTCCGCTCTCAAAACTCGCCAAAGACCAACTGCAGTTGTTGGCAGATAGAAATGACAAATCGAATTTGCCTATTCTGACGTTTTATTTGAATTTATACCACACCAGTCCTACAGCATATAAATCCATCCAAGAGGATTTTCAACTACCAACCGTTACTACGCTTATAAATAAGGTACTGCTACCGATCTCTAGTGAAGTCAATGATTATACAATCGCACCTTTACAAAATAAAGTCAGTAACATGGATGAAATGGAGAAATACTGTACAGTAATGGTGGATGTAATGCCATTAAAGACTTTGTTGTCTTACAACAAAAACGAAGACAGGATTGTTGGTTTACATGAGATAGATGGAGTTCAAGTGCTGACACCTGCACGACACGCAGTGGTGGTGGTCGCGAGGGGTTTATTTGTTCAATGGATGCAACCGATTGGGTTTTCATTTATTTCTGATACAAAATCCAGTGAAGATATTTCAAGATGGATTGATAAAATCTTGATAAAGCTACTTGACAGTGGACTTCGAATAAAAGCCTTTGTATGTAAACAGTCCAAGCATTTAGATGAACTTAATATTCGATCCGTGAATGCTGAGAGGCCATACTTTTATGTTAATGATTCCAAGATCTATTACGTTTTCGATACACCTTACATGATACGACAACTCCGCAACGTTTTTCTGACCCACGACTTTCACTTTGATACAGGAAATTGTCATCAAGTAGCGAGTTTTGGACATATCAAACATTTTTATGAGATGGAGAAGAAGAGGAGAGTAAAATTTGCCCCTAAATTAACAGACTCTCATATATCTCCAACAAAATCAGATAAAAAGAAGACTATTTATGCAATGCAACTGTTCAGTAGCGCAGTGGCAGTGGGCCTTGCATCGTATATAGAATTTAAAGTTCTGCAACCTGATACAGGTACCGTAGATTTTGTATTGCTAATGAATAATTTGTTCAATCTACTAAACATTTCTGGTGGTGCTAATTGCCCCAGTAGAGAGAATATTAAGATAGTATTTCAGGGAGGAAAAAGTCAGGTTGAGGAACTGGAGGAGACGATGAATTTATTCAAAACACTGGAATTGATTAACAGGAAAACAGGAGTTAAAAAGGCAACCACGCCGGCGTTTGTTGAGGGGTTCCAAATAACTATTAAGTCCGTCATGAGTCTATGCGAAGAGTTTCAGACACAAAAACAGATCTTACTGACAAGACGTCTTAGCTTGGAGGTGATGGAAAGGTTTATAAAAAAAATTAAACCTAAAGGCCAAGTCCCCGTTATTCCACGATTTGTGCAAAGGTTTCGTAAGTTATATCTTGGGCATATTTTGAAACCTGCGAAATTGAGCAGTTCCTCCGACAATTTAGCCACATTACTCTGTAAACTAAATGATTTGAGCGATCATCTAGGAAAGGCTGATCAGATCAGGGAAACCTTAGTAAACTGTGAGAAGGAGCTGCCAAATTTGATGGTTAGTGCGGGAAAGACATCAAAAGAATTTAGAATGCAACTTTTTTGTGGATTTCTTTTAAAGAAATGTGCAGATTATCACACCAATTGTGAAATTTTGAGTGCGTATGTGGCAGCTCATGAGGTATTGTATGGCTTAGAAGAATCTGAGAGTGAATTCAAACCGGAACCTATTTCGATTGGAGAATTCAACAATTACGTGGCGTCCATGGAGGGTCTGTATCGCGAGGGTATCCAGAAGATCGGAGAGGACAGCCACATCGAGGCGTCCATTTACAAATTTTTGCGAATCCACCTGCCCTTGCTGGCGCCCTCCCTGCCCTGTCCCTGCTTCCCGGTGAAGTTTTTACAAAAGTTATTCATCAGGCTGAGGACCTGGATGATTATTGATCGCAACAATAGCGTTTACCGCGGGAACCGTTATGCCGGGAAGAATATCTCCATTCCGGATATTTAAATCGTTCGAGTGATTAATTAATTATTCTTATACATAATATAATTCATGGTTATTGCATTAAAAGTGAAGTATATGATTGAAAGTTGTTTTATTGCTAACGTTGCTTGCTACATAAACGTCTCGTTGATCTTCTAACAATAAGTTTAGTAATAATAAAATAACTGAAGAAACCTATTTCAATATAGAAAAATAATAATTATGCAAAATTAGATATCTATCCGATTTCGACAGTATTTAGTGTTTGTTCTTTACTTTAGAGAGGATAATGGGAAAGTGCGATGCAAATTACTATATTCTTCTTATGCCTCAGCTACACTACTCGTTTTGCTGCTATTAATTGCAATATGCATTCTTGCTTTTCGCTTATTCTAACAAGGCAAGGACGATGTGTCGATGCGAATCGAAGTTACCCAAGTAATGTAGTCAGACACTTCGTGATCAAACTTTGCACCGCTTCGGGCCCTTTTGACTCACGCAAAAATAAAAAATATCGAAATTCAGAAGTCGGGCGAGGCGAGGCGAGGTTGCTCGAAGTGATCTACACTACTAACTTATGGTGACTTCGCGAGAAGTGTAGCTGAGATATTATAAAAAATGATTAGCACTGACCTTCTGACCATCATTTAGGGCAGCACGAAGGCCATCCGGCTTTCGAAGCGCCACTTCTTGCAGGGCGCGCCGGCCTTGGTGGTGGCGCCGCGCTTGGTGCGCTGAGAGTAGTGTGGCTGAGGTGTTGTAAAGGACGATGAGCACTGACCTCCTGACCGTCATGTAGGGCAGCACGAAGGCCATGCGGCTCTCGAAGCGCCACTTCTTGCAGGGCGCGCCGGCCTTGGTGGTGGCGCCGCGCTTGGTGCGCTGAGAGTAGTGTGGCTGAGGTGTTGTAAAGGACGATGAGCACTGACCTCCTGACCGTCATGTAGGGCAGCACGAAGGCCATGCGGCTCTCGAAGCGCCACTTCTTGCAGGGCGCGCCGGCCTTGGTGGTGGCGCCGCGCTTGGTGCGCTGAGAGTAGTGTGGCTGAGGTGTTGTAAAGGACGATGAGCACTGACCTCCTGACCGTCATGTAGGGCAGCACGAAGGCCATGCGGCTCTCGAAGCGCCACTTCTTGCAGGGCGCGCCGGCCTTGGTGGTGGCGCCGCGCTTGGTGCGCTGAGAGTAGTGTGGCTGAGGTGTTGTAAAGGACGATGAGCACTGACCTCCTGACCGTCATGTAGGGCAGCACGAAGGCCATGCGGCTCTCGAAGCGCCACTTCTTGCAGGGCGCGCCGGCCTTGGTGGTGGCGCCGCGCTTGGTGCGCTGAGAGTAGTGTGGCTGAGGTGTTGTAAAGGACGATGAGCACTGACCTCCTGACCGTCATGTAGGGCAGCACGAAGGCCATGCGGCTCTCGAAGCGCCACTTCTTGCAGGGCGCGCCGGCCTTGGTGGTGGCGCCGCGCTTGGTGCGCTTCAGCGCCTGCCGCATCGAGTCGCGGAGGATCTTCCACTCCCGCTTCAGGACCTCACCTGGAGGCACAGGTGGTGGTAGAAAAAGTGTAGATAGAATACCTTCTGTGGTATAGAATAAATAAAGTACTTAAAAAAATTGTACCTACTCACTACGGAGTCTTCCAGTGACTTGGCCTACGTTTAGCTTGGTCCACAGGCCAAGTCACTGAATTTAATTTTTCCCAGTGCTAAGCTAAAAGTGGGCCAAGTCACTGGTAGACTCACGAATAGCTACGATTCGTTTCCTTGGCCACCTCCTTAACTTATTATCGAGTTATGCCCGTTTTCACCATCAATCCCTAATTTTAAGTGACCCCAATGAAAACAAAACTCCTGTTATGTGTTACCATAGGGGTCACTTAAAAATTAGGGATTGATGGTGAAAACGGGCATAACTGTAAAGGACAAAATCTTAATTAAAAAAGAGGTAATAAATTAAGTTTATTCCATAAATAGAAAAAAATCATAATATCACAAAGAATAAAGTAACCAGGATATCAAACCCGAGAATCTCATACGATCATCACGCGGCCAGTGCGCTATCGAACCGAGTGAGTGAGCATACAAAGTCAAAGAACAATAATATCACATCACAAAGCTGCTCGCACATGTTTACTAACTCGTTGCACGATCGTCCACAACCTCAACTACACGAATTTTAAACCCTAACTCCAATGCAATAAGAATGTAATGCTACTCACTGTTTCCACCGAGCCGCTCGGAAATCTCCGACCAACAGCGGTCTCTAATGTCAATATCTCTGTGATTTTCGTGTCTTGTGTCGTATAAAACAGGGTACTTTTTCACTTCGTCTATCAACCGTTCTCTGAACTGTCTACTGGACATGTTGGTGGTGGTCATTGCGTATAAACCTACAAACACGGCCTCCCAAAGCGCAGGCGAGGCGATACTGCGCGACGAGAGAGCGAGTCGAATCGCAAGCGATGTTGCCGCTTCGTGCGTATCGCTCATCGCGCGAGGTGGGCGAGGTGGCTTAAGAGATGGTGAAATGCGTAGAGATGACATAACGGTGTAGGTATAAAACTATTACAATGCTACTTATATCCGTTTTCATCATCAATCGCAAATTTTTAAGTGCCCCCTATGGTAACACTAACACATACTTAACAAGAATTTTGTTCTCGTATGGATCACTTCAAAATTAGCAATTGATGGTGAAAACGGGCACTAATTTTTTAAACATTAATTAATTTGCAACTTACACTTCGTCAGCCTATTTTTTAAACTGCTTAATGTCAATTTGTGCAAACTTTACAGAAGGATATAATATTATTTATAAACTGTTTATTTTTCATAGTTATGGTACTAATTGTAATATGACGATGTAGTACCTAATTGAAATTCAATAATAGGCTGACGACAATTAATAATTATTAATAAAACATGTAGAAGAAACATTGTAGAAGTCTACAATCAAATTGAAATACTTAATAATTCTGTACTTACTTTCAGTTATCTGATCATTTACTTACCTATTTACTATGTTTAAATATTGTATTCAAAATAAAAATAAATAATCTTGCTTCGCGGCAATGACGTAGGCATAATCACTTATCAACACTCAACACGCACAGTATTCGCTACTCTTTGCCGCGCGCCGCGTTGCCAGCGCGCCGCGACCGCCACGCGGGATCCCGCGACGTTGCCAGCGCGAAGCCGGCCGGCGAGTCGATCGGCAAACAGCTGACTGGGGACGTGTTATTATTCAATAAACGCTTTAGATTTTTATTATCACTGGTTTGACTATGTTTTCGCATGGAATGTAAAGATAGTGACTGAATGTTTACTTACGCCTTGTATGCAAGCTTAGATTAATAAAGTCTGGCTAGATGGATAGTCTTCATACAAACGCTTCCTCTAAAGTGAGGCAAAAATGTTACTGTCAAAACGATGTGAAAATTAAGAGAAATATTTTAACCATAAAGGTGATGTTTTAGAAAAAAAAAAGAGTTTTATCCACATTAACCGTATACGACAACAGTCGGTTCACCGCACATTGGGTACCCCGCACATTGGTCCGAAATTGAAAAATAATGGACTTATGCCCGTTTTCACCATCAATCCCTAAATTTTAAGTGACCACTATCTATGGTATGGTAACACATAACAGGAATTTTGTTTTCATAGTCGGGGAAAACGGGTATTAGAGACCAAAGTCGTTAAATTGGGCTCTTGAAAAAAATGCATAAGTAGGTCTATGACAGGAAATCTTTTTCTTTTCAAAACTATATTTGTTATGAACAACTTTTCATTAATTGTGTGTAAACTGGTAAATCTAAACGAAAAAAAAATTCTACTTTATGTGTTCAACTTCAAAAGTGTTAGTAGTGAAATCTTATTTTTTATAGCAGCTTGCAGTTTATACGCAAGTACCTATTTCAATTTTAATTATTTCATTAAATCAATACTTTTTTATATTTTTCGCTTTTTTATTTTCGCGAGGTTTTTTATGACAGGTAGGTATTATACCTAATAGTCATCTGACAATTTTGTATGAGAGAGAAGCCCGGCCGGGCGTGCACCGGATCCTCTGTCATAACAAAGAGCGAGAGAGCGACCGACTGAGCCGTTTCTCGTATCCGGTTACAACCCATCCGGTATCCGACGCGAGTATCGAGCAGGACGGTATACGCAGTCGCGACTCGCGAGTAGCCGCCGAACGTACGCTCGGCCCGGATCGTGCCAGTCCGGCCAAAAATCGGTCACAACATTGCTAAATTAAAATTTTTAGAACAGTGCCGCACGCAACAGCGACTAGTTGTGTACTTGTGCGTACGGGCTAGTCACTCACCGTGTCCCCGCTGTCTTTATCATGAGTACGCCGACTAGAAAACGAATCCGCAACTTCATACAGGCTTACAAAAGCTTACCCCAACTGTGGGATAGGAAACACAGGGATTATTTAAACAAATCCGAAAGAAGTAAAGCGTTTGAGATTCTAAGAAAGGTATATCAACAAATTGAGGAAGACGCCTCTGTGCAGACAGTCAAGAGAAAAATAAACGATTTGAGGAGTGTGTACATGAAGGAATTGAAGAAGGTAAAGTATAGTAATTCTCCAGTTAATATTAATTTACTGAGTTTACTCGACTTTTTTATTATTTTGATCATCCTGAAATGTTTTCTATTGGTACAGGTGAGGGCATCGAGGCTGACGGCGAGGAGCCCCGGGGACGTGCACGAGCCGACGCTGTGGCACTACAAGGACATGAGCTTCCTGGAGCACGTGTTGTGCGCGGACGCGTCGGCGCCGCCGCCCGGGGAAGAACAAACGCCAAGCAGCCCTGAACCTTTGATGGTCTTCAAAATTGAGGTATAAATAAATCTCTGGTATATTTGGATTACGATATAAAACAAAAAAGTGGCAACAAAAAATTAACCAAAAAACAAAAGACGACTCAATTTAGCTGATACTTAATTTAACAACAGCTTATCATAAAATGTTTTGTGACTTAAGTCTGTCTTCTTTCATTGGTTATCTCACTTCTCTTATAAGAATAGCTGGTTTTCACGCCTTATTACAGGCATACTACCTAATACACGTTTATTTCCTTTGGATAATCTCCTTATATATTTTTTTAAATTGGTCCATTTGTTGTCTATATGGTTGACTGTAGTTAACACTACAATCAATTCAAAAATATTAACATCGCTGGGAACATACTTATTACTTACTCTTTAAAAATCATTCGAAATTCTTCGTGTTTGCCTTTGTTTAACTACACTAAGAACTATTTTGTAGGTCCATATTGTTTACATGGTGAGATGTTTAAGATTTGTCATAAATAAATAAAAGAGGCAGTCCAATTTCCTTAATAGATTTACTTCAAAAATGGATTTTTCAGGATGTTAGTACGCCAAACGAACACGAGGCGACATACGAAGATAGCGAGGATTACGGAGGAGAAAGCTCATCCATCACCTGCACGCAACCCAGCGCGAGTTCCAACGTCAGAAACAACAGCGTCAACTGCTCATCGGGCTGCGCGGCCATGTTGGATCCCGATGACGTCATCGGCCGGTCCATCGGCGTGCAGCTGAAGGACCTCGACAAGAAACAGAAGACGATAGCAATGAAGTTGATATCGGACGCAATTTATTACGCGAATCTGGGAAGGCTAGACGAAACGAGCTATTTACACTTGTAGAAAAACCATTTTCAGTTGAGGATCTTCCGTTAATTTTAAAAGAACTCATTAATTTGACTGTCAAATAGTTTTTAATTTTATTGTTATGTAGGACTAGGATATCAAGTTTATTATAATGTTAAGAAAAAAGTAAGTACTAAATTAAAATGTTAAGATGGTAAGTACTCATTAAAGGTAAAAAATAATGGTACCTACATATTACTTTTGTAAGTGTAGGTGCTTTAGTAGGTATGTAATGTAATGTAATACTATTAAATAAATAAATAACTGACGTAGTTAACTTTCATATAGGTATAAAACGAAATAAGACCAAAGGGTTTTGCTAGAACTAGGACGTTCATCAAACAGTTTGACAAAATCGTAATACATACGCTACGTACCTATGTATAAAGTAAATATTGTAGTAACAATGTAGATACCTACTATAATAGGAACTTCAAACTTAATTATTTTTATAAAGTGTAAGTTCTATAATAGATGCTAAGTTATGAATAAAGAAAAGAACAATAAAGATACTGAATTTTAATTTATCCTACTTATTTCTCTACCTCTATGACTAATAAGTAGCTCTCCTACTGTTTGACAGTCCTAACTTTAACGTTTGGCTGTCAATTTAATCGAAATAATTATCAAGGTCAGTACGACAAAATATCGTAAAAGCGGGCGACTTTAGTCCTCTCTCTAAATATTATCCGGTCTGATTTGTGTGTATTAAATTAATTCACGTCAGACACGGACGCCCGACGCGCCGACGCGCGCGTTTTCTGAGCCGATACTGTGCCGATACGATCAAATGTCGGCTGCTCCGCTCCCGCCAGCCAGAGCTAGTCGCGCGCTGACGCCGCCCCGAGCTGCCGTCTCCGCCAGGCGCCATGCACGCCGCCACAACCGGCGGCAAAAACAGGAGAATACTCCGCAACTTGTTACAGACTTACAAGAGCCTGCCGCTATTGTGGGACAAAAAACACAAGCAATATTTCAATAAAAAAGCAAGATATGAGGCGTTTAAAGATTTGCTAAAAATCTATCAAGAAATCGATTGCCATGCCACAATAATCACTGTGAGGAAGAAAATTGACAATTTTAGGAATACATATATGAGGGAATTGAAGAAGGTAAGTATGGTTTTACTCAGCAATTTGGGTTTATTCTAAAAGTAACGATTCAGCCTTGTTTTAATGTGTGTGGTTTGATTTGGACAGGTGAAGACGTCGCAGCTGACCGCGAAGGAGCCCGAGGACGTGTACGAGCCGACGGTGTGGCACTACAAGGAGCTGGGCTTCCTGGAGCACCTGGTGCGCCTGGACACCACGCGCGGGAGCAGAGCCGAGCACACCGACACCGAGTCTGAGAGATCTGTTGAAGAAGATCAATCAAACAATACGATCAAAGAAGAGGTAAGAGACTCGTTTTTATTATGTAATCTGATTAAATTAGTGTTCCGACTCGCCGACTTTATTTTTATTATCCGACATCTGACAGGCGGGTACGACGATGAAACGGATACGATTATATCTCGGTAGTACTCCTTGTGAGCATACTTTGGTTCTGTATGATTATCAAGATTTCATAATATTAGATTTAAATATTATATTTATTTAACAATTACAGTTTTGAGAACTCAATAAAATTAGCCAGCTTCGCACACATTTTAAAAATTATAAATAAAAAATATTTTATGTCTATTGATTTACCATAAAATAAATAGAATTTTAATGGTGAAAGAATTTTTCAAATTGGTCCAGTAGTTTTTAGTTTATTTGTTACAAACATACAAAAATACAAATTCCCTCTATATAATTTTACTATAGAAGCAATAAGAAGTTTTTTGTTTTTAAACTCCTCTAGGACCAGAACCCCCTGGATAGCGATTGGAACGAGCACTACGCGGTAGAATCCAACGACGACATCGACAATGGCATCCAGGAGACCGGGGAGAAAATATACATCTCATACGCTCAGCCCATGCCCAGAAAATCTTCAAAAGCAAAAACCAAAAAAAAATTGGTAACCAACAGAAAGATGAGCTTGCCTATGGGCCCTGACGAAATCATTGGCCATTCTTTCGGCGTGCAGCTGGCGGGCCTGCAGGTGAAGCAGAAGGCAATAGCGCTGAAGTTGATCTCCGACGCCATATACTACGCTAGTTTAGGGAAGTTGCAGGAAACAAGCACCGTGCAATTGTAGTTTCGAAATGAGCGATTGTGCGGGAAAAAAAACTGGACTGTGATTCTTTAGACTTTAAAAAAATATTAAATTAAGTAGCTTTAAGAAAGTCTTTTGTATGTTTATTAATGCCCTAAATCGCACCCCCCCTGGAATAAGTATGCAAGTCCACTTGTGCGATATTTTTTTTATTGCACTAAAAAATCAAGAAGGAGGTAATACATATTGTCAATTTTTTTCATAATTTTTCTCTTAAAAATGAAGAAATTATGTACAAATATGTAAAATATTGCAACATTAAAATATCTAAATTTCCATAGCAAAAACGAAGTAAATACATTTGCACTTAATTGTTTAATAAAGTTCCGTATGAATAATAGCATATTAATAGTTACGTACATCTTCCACGAAGACTTTAAAAAATATTTTCGCGTATCTATTGTTGCATACTTATTTTAGGATATTATTTGGTGGGTATTGTGGTGCAAGTTTAGTTGCTTAGTTTTTCCACGAAACTTTTGTGCACATTATGCTGGTAATTTTGTGCAAGTCTAGATGCTTATTTCTTCCACGAAACTTTTATTCGAATAATAATATATAACAATTGATACGGTTTTTTCTACGTACATTATCTTTGTGCAAGTCTAGTTGCCTAATTATTTTACGAAACTTTTGGCGATGTTGTGTTTTATACCGATATTGATACATTTATTTAGATGTAATTTAGTCATTAACGAAGCACAAATTAACTTAGTTTCAGTTATTTAAGTATCCGAACCACTACTTCTTGCACTAAATACCCTTGTAAGACTATCAGATCCTGTGTGTTTATCAAAAAATCGCACCAATGATGATGGTAAAATGATCGGTCTTTATGAGTACAAGATCCATTTTAAATTCTGTCTCTCTCTTCAGTGAACCGTTATCGTAGTAATCGTGATAAATATTCATCTTTCCAGAGAAGCATGAGTTCATTTGTCAGCTTCTGCGTGTATTGCCAGCGTGACAAGGTATGTATCTTTACGTCTTTCAAAGCAGTAAGCAACAATCGGTGCGTCCCTAATTATAAAATGACACAAGTTTGTATGTATTTTAAGGAATATTGTCTTGAAAAGGACATAATGGTCAGACGTTTAAAAATGCAACAACCTGATACAAAACTATTGCCATCTTTTCGTATGTATGATGAGCAGTCAGTATTCTTTTCAGGTGGTACTTGATCGACCGGACGCCAGCTTTCCGCAGACCTCCACAGATTGGACTTGCCACTGGAATGTAGTGCCATTAAGTGCCTTCTATATCCTAGTGTTGACCCTATTTGTCCAGTAAATTGCATTATTTTTCCAGGCCTTATGAAACTCCTGGCTCAGACAAAGTTTATATCCTGGTTGCTTCACAGGTCCGGTCACTCTTCAACAAAGCGTATAAAAGCACCTATAAGTTTTGGACCAAATAAAAATTGTTCTTTCTTTCTTTAAAGGTTCAGCCAAACCAACGCAATCACACGCGATCAGACGGCGTGCAGTGATGGCGATCAGACAAAATGCATCGATCGCCATCGCTGCACGCCGGCTGATCGAGCGTGAACCTTATAGGATTCGGAAGTGATGTCACCAATGAGTTCAATGTGGGTAACTTTTGTAGTCATGCAGACAATAAATATCACTATATTATAGGCTTCTATAGTTTTGTTCCCTTGGACATCAAAATTTGAAAGGGTCCTTCAAAATCGTCTCCCTTGTTCATGAATTGTCTAAATTGAGTAACTTGCTGTTCTGGTAAATCTCCCATTACTTATTTTAGCAGTAGCATTCAATTTAGCACAATTGAAATATCTGTGTACTTATTGTCTCGCCAATGGTTACGCCTTGATAATCCAAAATGTGGAGCTGAGTCAGCTTTCTTGTGAATTATCATGATGTCAGTATTAATATAAACGTTTTCGACAATCTCCACGACGCGGTTTGCAACAATAGATTTCCACCTATTCGTCTCTCCAGACAGCTGGGCGATCAGAATAGAAAAATCTGTTCATAGTGTGCGAACATCTGTGAGGTTGGTATTCTTCACATTATTACATAAGTGGCCCACTTAAAATTCTTTTGGGGGCCACACTGTGGCCCACGGACCTGGAGTTGAGCAGCCTTGATCTAGTTGATCTAATGTGAACGGCTGCAGTATAATGCACTCACAGAGGCATCGCTAAATTTATTATAATTATTGTATTTTTACTCGGCCTGCATCTGGCCTTCCAGCTACCTTTATCAGGTCGTCGGACCACCTTGTCGGTGGATGTCCCAACGCTGCATTTTACGGTACGTGGCCTCCGCTCCATAACCTTGCTGGCCCATCGGCCGTCAGTTCTGCGTACTATGTGCTTCCAACCGTGCGATGTGGAAGTCATTGGGGGAGGCCTATGTTCAGCAGTGGACGTCCTGTAGCTGAAATGATGCTGACATATTTTTTATCTCTACCTATACCAATCTATATCTGTATTTTGTCAATATGAATCAAATCCTGCCGTATCTTAATCCAATCTTTTTCTAATGAGTTACTTATCTTTCTATCCTTATTATTTTTTTATCAGCCAAAGTTTTTGTTTTGAAACAAATAAATACTTTCTATTCTATTTCCATTAAAATCTTAGCCATGACTGTACTTGGAGCTAAGCTCCAGCCAAGGGGATCAAAAAGTTTGATCATATGTATCAGATAAAATGTTACGTTTCATGATTTGTTTTGCAATTTGTGGTATATTCACATTGTATTTAAATCTGTCCTCAAATTCCATTCAATACCCAATGCTTGGACTGTTCCATCAAGGTTAATGAAACTACTTTAGCACTAGCTGATCCTTTGTTGTCTTCTATTATTGACTCCATAAACTCAACGCAGAACTAGGTAGCAAAAGG